CTACCTCCGTCACGCCTCTCTCGCTCACTGCCTCTCTCCCTCCCTCCCTCCCTCCGTCCCTCCCACCCTCCCTCCCTCCCTCCCTCCCTCCCTCCCTCCCTCCCTCCCTCCCTCCCCCCTCTCTCCATCGCAAAGTCAAACTGGTCAGATGGCTGATCGTACGCGTGGATCCGCTCAAGGCATTTTCTTGAGCACTTACAAAAACATGGCATACACAGCAAGGGTCCAACGAGCTGACCTTTGACGTGGTCTTTTTGATTGTTGAAAGCATTTTTGGCATCCCCACAGGATCATTGTTACTCCGCGAATAGAAGGGGCCCCAGTATGGAGGCATAGGCTCAAAGGAATTGACGGCAAGAGGGAGGGAGGGAGGGAGGGAGGGAGGGAGGGAGGGAGGGACGGAGGGAGGGACGGAGGGAGGGAGTGAGGGACGGAGGGACGGAGGGAGGGATGGAGGGAGGGACGGAGGGAGGCAGTGAGGGAGTGATCAGTGAGGGAGGGAGGGAGGGAAAGGAGATACTTTGAGCGTCGGGTCTCTGGGAGGGAGATAGATTGGCTTTTCGGTTGAGATCTGCAAGATTGGTCAGGATTCCTAGGGATCAGAGTGGAGTGAAGAGGTAAGGGAAGAGTCAAAGTAAAAGCAGTGTTGGTGATGCAGAAGTGAAGGGGAAGGAGGGATCCTGCTGGGATGGAGGTGGAGGGAAGACAAAAACGATAGGAAGCAAGATGATCACGTTCTTCATCCTCTCATCGAAGTACTTGAGAAATTCTCTGTAAGAAAGCGATCAGATTGTGACTTCACAAAGAAACCTCACTGATTCTCAGGTAGATCGAGCTCCGGCACCTTGCAGGCATCATTGCTTCAGTTGTGAAGGCAGCTGGAAAGTCACTCACTTCTTTGCCTTCCAGGCGTTCCATTTCCAGATCCATGAGGTGAGAATATCTCAGCTGCAACAGGCGTATGAGAATGGAAATTCGTCCATTTAATTTCATCATCACCATCATCATCATCATCATCATCATCATCATAACCACCACCACCACCACCACCACCACCAACAACAACAACAACAACAACAACAACAACAACAACAACGTCGTCGTCGTAATCATCATCATCATCATCACCATCACCATCACCACCACCAACAACAACAACAACATCGTCGTCGTCGTCGTCGTCGTCGTCATCATCATCATCATCATCACCACCACCACCAACAACAACAACGTCGTCGTCGTCATCATCATCATCTCCGTCGTCGTAATTATCAACCTTCCACCCCAACAATCACCACTTTCCTCTACATCTCCACCTGCAGCTTATGCTCCTCCCGGACCGTTCGGAGCCCCCTACCACACAGTCATCGCCAGCTACACCAGCACGAGTCGCCACATAGAGGAGAAGTTGAATCTTGCACGTTGCTCGCCCTCCTGCTCGTCCGATATCCACTCCTCCTCGCTCTCCGTCGTCTCGTCAGTCGAGGACGACATGTGGTCTGCCGTCATCAACTTCTCCACCTGCGGGACCGGCTGGCTCGACGCAAGCTCTCTCCACTTGGGTTCAATTCCATCCATCGCCTTGAGGTACTCCTTCATCGCATCCGTCGACGTCAGGTTCCCCAGTGCTGCCCAATGCTGCCATTTTGCCCTTTCCGCCCAGGCAAAGATCGAGGGTTCGGGTCCTGTGCAGGGCCCGACGGTGGCCTGCTTGTAGAACCCGTAGAGGAGGAGCCTCGTCTCCACAGAGACGCCGTTGAGCGTCCTCGCGTACTCGCACGCAATCTGAAAATCTTTCTGAAGATTATTCACAGGCATGAATCCGCTTCCTCCCCGAAGGGAAAGCATGTGAGGAACAGGGGAGGAGGGAGGGAGAGTACAGTGAGGGGAAGAGGACGAGACGACGAAGCTGCTGGTCTCGGATGCCTCAACGCGAAGGAGGGGGGAGAGGAGGAGGAGGAGGGAGGGGGGAAGGGGCAGCAGGGGCACCATCGGTCGCATTACTGGATGAGACTCTTCGAGGATGAAACACCCGGGTGGGTGCAGTACCGGTCTTTTTATATAATTTTATCTGTCTCATATTGGGGTGGGGTAAATCACTTTGTCTTTCGGGGGGTGGGTGGGTCTTGCAAACGCATACCATGGAGTGAGAGGAGAATGAAGGAAGAGATGTTTGTCAGAGGCGTGTGCCTGCTACACCTGCTTTCCTCTGCCACATGCCTGCAAGACTTTCCTGGTGAGCTGGCTCCTTTCTCCTCGTCCTCTCGTCCTCCTCGTTCTCGTCCTCGTCCTCATCGTCCTCATCGTCCTCATCGTCCTCATCGTCCTCGATCTCCTCGACCTCTTCCTCCTCTTCCTCCTCTTCCTGCTTGTCCCTCTCCTCTTCCTCCTCCTCTTCCTCTTCTTCTTCCTCGTCGTCGTCCTCCTCCGTCCTCCTCCTCCTCCGTCCCCCCCCGCTTTCCTTCTCCTCTCGTCCCAATCTCTCCAGCACTCTCTTATGCGCACAGCAGGACTTCGGCCCACCCTCAGGGTCCGAGGAGGGAGCACGACACCGTACACAACCGAGTCTATCAAACTTGAATCCCCTAGCAGCTTTCACTTCATACAGCCGAAGGATGTTCCCAAGGTCGCGACGCTCCCGCCGTTCCCCTTAGAGGAAGGATCCGAGGCCTTCAACAGGTCTCTCAGCCAGCCCGACTCGTCCTGCTCCTTCAACTTCATGAGCCACCCGTCCTACCAGTCCAGCAAAGGGCATGTCTCGATTGCTCCGACCTCCTGGTCCTCTGCCTCTGAAGCCACTCGGAAGCGCCGAAGTACGTTCCCATCCCTCCTCTCCTCCCTCCCTCCTCCCTCCCTCCTCCCTCCCTCCCACCATCCCATCCCATCCCATCCCATCCCATCCATCCATCCATCCATCCATTCTCCTCCTCCTCCTCCTCCTCGTCCTCCTCCATCCCCATCTTCCTGCTACCCTCTGTGTTCGGCGACTGACCCTATCCCAGTCATGACGATGAAGTTCTTCGTCGCTGCGCTGAAGGGCGACACGGCGACGCTGCGGTCGTACATCTTGGAGCATGGGATGGACGTGAACATGCGGGCGAGGGAGCTGGTGGAGTACGACACAGTCATGTGGGAAGGGATCAACAGAACGGCTCTGCACTTCGCCTGCCTGGCAGAGGACGACGAGGATAACTTGGAGACGGTGGGAGTAGAGCAGGAGGAGGGAGGGGATGAAGAGGAGAACGGAGGAGGAGGGAGCGGGGCGGGGCGGGGGGGAACTGGAGGAGGTGGGGGAGGAGGAGGGAGAAGAGGAGGTGAACCTGCCGGCAGGTCATGATGTTGCTGGAGCTCGGGGCGGACCTCAATGCGCAGACAGACAACGGAGACACTCCGTTGCACTATGCTGGGGTGCGAGGTCTGGATCAGATCGCGACAAAGCTGATCTTGGCCGGAGCGAACCCTTGCGTGAAGAACTACGAGGGACCCATCAGGTCTGTGCAGAGCCAGTTCGCTGAGTGCAGCAGGTGACTTCGTGCTCACAGTGACAGCCCGGACAACGTTGTTAGGGCCTACGAAGAGACGAGGTTTGACTTTGTGAGGGCACCCCAGCTGGACTTGCTGCTGGTGGCTGACTGTAGCCCAGTATTACGCCAAGTACAAGAGCGAGGAGGAGGAGAAGTGGTCCCCAGCCAAGACTCCCTACGAGTTTGCGCTCTGCTTCCATGAGTTCTCGACCACCGAGACCCTGCTGGTGCTGGGGTACTGCTCAAGTGCTGAGTGTGCAGGGTGCGGAGCTGAGAATTTTGTTGTTGAGGGTTGCGGAGGAGATCTACAAAGAACATGGAAAAGTGACCCGGGAGATGTTCTTCGAGAAGCTGAAGAAAGCGGAGGTGAGGAGAGGAAAACGAGCAGGAGCAGGAGCAGCAGGAGGTCGTCAAAGCCGAGGACTAGGATAGGAGGAGGACGAGGACGAGGACGAGGACGAGGACGAGGGAATGACGAGGAGGAGGAGGACGAGGAGGACGAGGAGGAGGACGAGGACGAGAACGAAAACGAATGATGATGATCTTTTGGCAGGAAGAGTGCGAGGAAGAGCAGGTTCAATTCGACGCACGGCATGGATTCAATGAGAGCACATCGTTTGTAATGTAAGGGAGGAGGAGGAGGAGGAGGGGAAGGGAGGTAGCTGGGGAGTTTGGGGCAAGCGGGATGTCAGGAAGTTCGAAAGAGGTTAGAACGAAGGAGGGAGGTTGGAAAGAGGTGGAAATCAAGGAGGAAGGAGGGTTGGAGAAAGGTTGGAAAAAGGAGGCAGAAGGGATGTGGGAAAGGAGGTAGAAGTGTGTGGGAAAGGAGGTAGGAGGTAGGTACCAAGAGAAGGGGCTGAAGATGCAATGCTGTTGATCTGGACTATCGCGGCAGGCCGGAACATTCAGGGTACCGAGTGATGGAGGACTTCGACCAGGATGTAAGTCCGATGGTGCTGGGGAAGGATTTCAGCGTGAAAGAGCTCTTGACAGGTCTGGAAGAAGATGTGCAAAGACGTCAACTTCGACGAGCAAGCTTTCTTGCAGCAGGAGCTGAAACACATGAGATTCTGGGAGAAGATGAAAGAGGTGCTGGGATGACCCTCCCCTCTCCACTACTCTCCACTACTCTCCTCTCCTCTCCTCTCCTCTCCTCTCCTCTCCTCTCCTCTCCTCTCCTCTCCTCTCCTCTCCTCTCCTCTCCTCTCCTCTCCTCTCCTCTCCGCTCCTCTCCGCTCCGCTCCTCTCTTATATGCTCCCCTTTCCTCTCCCCTTCTTTCTCCTGATCTCTTGGAACTCCCTTCCCTGTCCCCTCCTCTAACTTTTATCTCTCTCCCTCCTCCTCTGACCTCTCACGTTCTACGTGAAGGTGAACTTGACGTTCAACTTCACCGCATACCAAACGCCTCCGAATGTGAACGCGCTGCAAGACGACTATGGCGACGACATCCCGATAGCGGCAAGAACGTGGGCCAAGTACAGCAGGTAAGGAGGGAGGGACAAGTTAGAACATGATGAGCACATCATCATCGTCGTCATCATCACCGTCGTCATCGTCATCATCATCAGCATCACCACCACCATCATCATCACCACCACCACCACCATCATCACCATCACCATCATCATCATCATCATCATCATCATCGTCATCATCATCATCATCATCACCACACACACCACGTCCATCCACCACA